TTCACCACACCCTTTTACCACCAGCTGATATATGTTTACACCTGTGTGTAGGGGGGGGGGGGGGGTGGTGTCTTATTTGAGAAGAGTGCAGAGAGCTGTGTGATGTGGGTGCATGTACACCCTTTACCACCAGCTGATATATGATGACTTTTGTGTGTAAGGGGGAGGGGGTTGTCATGTTTGAAAAGAGTGCAGAGCTGTGTGATGTGGGTTGACCACACCCTTTTACCACCAGCTGATATATGTTTACACCTGTGTGTAGGGGGGGGGGGGTGGTGTCTTATTTGAGAAGAGTGCAGAGAGCTGTGTGATGTGGGTGCATGTACACCCTTTTACCACCAGCTGAAATATAATTACATTTGTGTGTAAGGGGGGGGGGGGGGGGGTTGTCATGTTTGAGGTGAGTGCAGAGAGCTGTGTGATGTGGGTTCACCACACCCTTTTACCACCAGATGAAATATGATTACATTTGTGTGTAAGGGGGGGGGTGTCATATTTGAGATGAGTGCAGAAGGCTCTGTGATGTGGGTTCACGACACCCTTTTACCACCAGCTGATACATGATTACTCTTGTTTGTAGGGGGAGGATTGTCATATTTGAGAAGAGTTCAGAGAGCTGTGTGATGTGGGTTCACGGCACCCTTTTACCACCAGCTGATACAAGGTTACTCCTGTGTGTAGGGGGGGGGGGGGGATCGTCATATTTGAGAAGAGTGCAGAGAGCTGTGTGATGTGGGTGCATGTACACCCTTTTACCACCAGCTGATATAAGATTACACCTGTGTGTACGGTGGGAAGTTTGTCACATTTGAGATGAGTGCATAGAGCTGTGTGATGTGGGTTCACCACACCCTTTGCCACCAGCTGAAATATGATTACATTTGTGTGTAAGGGGGGGGGGGGTTGTCATGTTTGAGATGAGTGCAGAGAGCTGTGTGATGTGGGTTCACGACACCCTTTTACCACCAGCTGATACATGATACTCTTGTGTGTAGGGGGAGGATTGTCATATTTGAGAAGAGTGCAGAGAGCTGTGTGATGTGGTTTCACCACACCCTTTTACCACCAGCTGATATATGTTTACACCTGTGTGTAGGGGGGGGGGGGGGGTGGTGTCTTATTTGAGAAGAGTGCAGAGAGCTGTGTGATGTTGGTGCATGTACACCCTTTTACAACCAGCTGAAATATAATTACATTTGTGTGTAAGGGGGGGGGGGTTGTCATGTTTGAGGTAAGTGCAGAGAGCTGTGTGATGTGGGTTCACCACACCCTTTTATCACCAGCTGAAATATGATTACATTTGTGTGTAAGGGGGGGGGGGGTGTCATATTTGAGATGAGTGCAGAAGGCTGTGTGATGTGGGTGCATGTTCACTCTTTTACCACCAGCTGATATAAGATTACACCTGTGTGTACGGTGGGAAGGTTGTCACATTTGAGATGAGTGCATAGAGCTGTGTGATGTGGGTTCACCACACCCGTTACCACCAGCTGATATATGTTTACACCTGTGTGTAGGGGGGGGGGGGGTGGTGTCTTATTTGAGAAGAGTGCAGAGAGCTGTGTGATGTGGGTTCACGACACCCTTTTACCACCAGCTGATACAAGATTTCTCCTGTGTGTGGGGGGGGGGGGGATCGTCATGTTTAAGAAGAGTGCAGAGAGCTGTGTGATGTGGGTGCATGTTCACCTTTTTACCACCAGCTGATATAAGATTACGCCTGTGTGTACGGTGGGAAGGTTGTCACATTTGAGATGAGTGCATAGAGCTGTGTGATGTGGGTTCACCACACCCTTTTACCACCAGCTGATATATGTTTACACCTGTGTGTAGGGGGGGGGGGGTGGTGTCTTATTTGAGAAGAGTGCAGAGAGCTGTGTGATGTGGGTGCATGTACACCCTTTACCACCAGCTGATACATGATTACTCTTGTGTGTAGGGGGGATCGAGGATTGTCATATTTGAGAAGAGTGCAGAGAGCTTTGTGATGTGGGTTCACGGCACCCTTTTACCACCAGCTGATACAAGGTTACTCCTGTGTGTAGGGGGGGGGGGGATCGTCATGTTTGAGAAGAGTGCAGAGAGCTGTGTGATGTCTGTGCATGTACACCCTTTTACCACCAGCTGATATAAGATTACACCTGTGTGTACGGTGGGAAGGTTGTCACATTTGAGATGAGTGCATAGAGCTGTGTGATGTGGGTTCACCACACCCTTTGCCACCAGCTGAAATATCATTACATTGTGTGTAAGGGGGGGGGGGGGGTTGTCATGTTTGAGATGAGTGCAGAGAGCTGTGTGATGTGGGTTCACCACACCCTTTTACCAGCTGATATATGTTTACACCTGTATGTAGGGGGGGGGGGGGTGGTGTCTTATTGAGAAGAGTGCAGAGAGCTGTGTGATGTGGGTGCATGTACACCCTTTTACCACCAGCTGATACATGATTACTCTTGTGTGTAGGGGGGATTGAGGATTGTAATATTTGAGAAGAGTGCAGAGAGCTGTGTAATGTGGGTTCACGGCACCCTTTTACCACCAGCTGATACAAGGTTACTCCTGTGTGTAGGGGGGGGGGGGGGATCGTCATGTTTGAGAAGAGTGCAGAGAGCTGTGTGATGTGGGTGCATGTACACCCTTTTACCACCAGCTGATATAAGATTACACCTGTGTGTACGGTGGGAAGGTTGTCACATTTGAGATGAGTGCATAGAGCTGTGTGATGTGGGTTCACCACACCCTTTGCCACCAGCTGAAATATCATTACATTTGTGTGTAAGGGGGGGGGGGGGGTTGGCATGTTTGAGATGAGTGCAGAGAGCTGTGTGATGTGGGTTCACGACACCCTTTTACCACCAGCTGATACATGATTAGTGTGTAGGGGGAGGATTGTCATATTGAGAAGAGTACAGAGAGCTGTGTGATGTGGTTTCACCACACCCTTTTACCACCAGCTGATATATGTTTACACCTGTGTGTAGGGGGGGGGGGGGGTGGTGTCTTATTTGAGAAGAGTGCAGAGAGCTGTGTGATGTTGGTGCATGTACACCCTGTTACCACCAGCTGAAATATAATTACATTTGTGTGTAAGGGGGGGGGGGGTTGTCATGTTTGAGGTAAGTGCAGAGAGCTGTGTGATGTGGGTTCACCACACCCTTTACCACCAGCTGAAATATGATTACATTTGTGTGTAAGGGGGGGGGTGTCATATTTGAGATGAGTGCAGAAGGCTGTGTGATGTGGGTGCATGTTCACTCTTTTACCACCAGCTGATATAAGATTACACTGTGTGTACGGTGGGAAGGTTGTCACATTTGAGATGAGTGCATAGAGCTGTGTGATGTGGGTTCACCACACCCTTTTACCACCAGCTGATATATGTTTACACCTGTGTGTAGGGGGGGGGTGGTGTCTAATTTGAGAAGAGTGCAGAGAGCTGTGTGATGTGGGTGCATGTACAACCTTTTACCACCAGCTGATATATGATGACTTTTGTGTGTAAGGGGGAGGGGGTTGTCATGTTTGAAAAGAGTGCAGAGCTGTGTGATGTGGGTTGACCACATCCTTTTACCACCAGCTGATATATGTTTACACCTGTGTGTAGGGGGGGGGGGGGGGTGGTGTCTTATTTGAGAAGAGTGCAGAGAGCTGTGTGATGTGGGTGCATGTACACCCTTTTACCACCAGCTGAAATATAATTACATTTGTGTGTAAGGGGGGGGGGGTGTCATATTTGACATGAGTGCAGAAGGCTGTGTGATGTGGGTTCACCACACCCTTTACCACCAGCTGAAATATGATTACATTTGTGTGTAAGGGGGGGGGGGTGTCATATTTGAGATGAGTGCAGAAGGCTGTGTGATGTGGGTTCACGACACCCTTTTACCACCAGCTGATACATGATTACTCTTGTGTGTAGGGGGAGGATTGTCATATTTGAGAAGAGTGCAGAGAGCTGTGTGATGTTGTTTCACCACACCCTTTTACCACCAGCTGAAATATAATTACATTTGTGTGTAAGGGGGGGGGGGGGTGTCATATTTGACATGAGTGCAGAAGGCTGTGTGATGTGGGTGCATGTTCACCCTTTTACCACCAGCTGATATAAGATTACACCTGTGTGTACGGTGGGAAGGTTGTCACATTTGAGATGAGTGCATAGAGCTGTGTGATGTGGGTCACCACACCCTTTTACCACCAGCTGATATATGTTTACACCTGTGTGTAGGGGGGGGGGGTGGTGTCTTATTTGAGAAGAGTGCAGAGAGCTGTGTGATGTGGGTGCATGTACACCCTTTTACCACCAGCTGATATATGATGACTTTGTGTGTAAGGGGGAGGGGGTTGTCATGTTTGAAAAGAGTGCAGAGCTGTGTGATGTGGGTTGACCACACCCTTTTACCACCAGCTGATATATGTTTACACCTGTGTGTAGGGGGGGGGGGGTGGTGTCTTATTTGAGAAGAGTGCAGAGAGCTGTGTGATGTGGGTGCATGTACACCCTTTTACCACCAGCTGAAATATAATTACATTTGTGTGTAAGGGGGGGGGGGGATTGTCATGTTTGAGGTGAGTGCATAGAGCTGTGTGATGTGGGTTCACCACACCCTTTTACCACCAGCTGAAATATGATTACATTTGTGTGTAAGGGGGGGGGGGTGTCATATTGAGATGAGTGCAGAAGGCTGTGTGATGTGGGTTCACGACACCTTTTACCACCAGATGATACATGATTACTCTTGTGTAGGGGGAGGATTGTCATATTTGAGAAGAGTGCAGAGAGCTGTGTGATGTGGTTTCACCACACCCTTTTACCACCAGCTGATATATGTTTACACCTGTGTGTAGGGGGGAGGGGGTGGTGTCTTATTTGAGAAGAGTGCAGAGAGCTGTGTGATTAATATCCAATTGAATTACTTAAACAATTACTTACAATTCAATATCTGAATTGTATACCCTACAAATTTCATATTTCCTTCCGTTTATCCTTTACCTACTAGGGAAACGGTTCCGAATTACAAGGCACTGTGAAATATGTTCTGCATCTACTGATGACATGTCAAAGCATCTTGAAAGGACACACAAACTGTCAAAGGAGGAAAGGCAGAAATATATATTGGCTGCACGTGGCAGGTAATTTTTTTTTGAGGGGGGGGGGGAGGGGGGTGTTCTCATTTCAAGAGCAGGTACTTTGTATATTCTGAAGATACATGTAGGTGTAATAATACATAATGTTTTGCATTTTTTTGGACATTTTTTGTGATTGTAATTTGTGATCATGTGAGAGCATTATTAATATAACTGTAAAATGGATAATTACAGAATCCATCAATTGTAAGAGAATTTGTTGATTAGATTAAGAATTAGAACGTTGTGGAGGTCTAAAATCACACAAAAGTAACAGTACCCAAAATGGGGAATGTCCACCTACATGTATGCATTTTTGGTCAAGAATTATGAAGGATGATTTGGTTCAATATCATGATAAAGAGATCATTTTATTTGTACTGTATAAGAAATTTTGTCATGATATTGTAATCATAATTATGATCCTTTTGTTTGTGCTTCATGAGAAAATTCAGAAACACACACATTTTCAAGCATGACAGTTTGATTTATCGTATGATTTATTTAATGTTTTACATATTCTTTTTCCACAGAGTCCCCATTAGAAGAAGAGCAATGATTGAGAATCCAAGTTCCGGTAAAAAGCAAAGCAAAAGAGAAAAACTGTCCATTGTGCGAAGGAAAACATTATACTTCATTACTGAACCACCTCAAATCCAAACATGGACTTGAGGCCAATGAAGCAAAGGAAATCCGTAAGAGAATGAAACAAGGTAATCCTTTATTGATATGTTGTTACATTCTGTCTTGCTGTTGCTTAAAGGCATCGTTTAACAATGTTATATCTGAGATGCAAGGCCCTACATGTTATCAGTGTCTGTGGTATGGTGTAATATTGAAACCCTAAACAAATTTGCGCTTCAAAATGATCATGAAGTGTCATTAAACAGTAAAAATCTTTGAGTGACCGGTTTTATCATACTCGTTTTTCCCCAATAGATTGTATTGTCATGAAAACCGTTAGGAAAAAAAAAAAATTGATTGGGATTTTTAATCATAAATATCTTGATAATCAGACAGCGATCGGCTTGTAAAAGTCATGGGGTTCCTGACTGACCTAAAGGTTTATAATTATAATACAGCATGAGCTAAATCCAAGATTTTATTTACTGAGCAGAAGACGTGTTGAGATTTTTCTCATGGTCATCTCAGAATAATGAATAAATAAGTTATACTTTTGATTTTATTTATTTTTGCAGAGTCTTAAAATGACTTCTCCAGTTTAAATGATTTAAAGAATTGGCCAGGGTAAGTTTTAATCCCATATCATGATTAATGTACAAGTGTATTATTTAAATGAGTGTGTGTCTGCTACATTCCCAGAATTACTTAAATCACATATTACAATTTTTCATGCCTTATCTGAAATGTATACCCTACAAATTTCAATTTTCCTTCTGTTAAAAGTTTTTATTTTATCCTACACTACTAGAGAAACAGTTCAGAACTACAAGTCGCTGTGAAATATGTTCCGCATCTACTGATGACATGTCAAAGCATTATGCAAGGACACATAAACTGTCGAAGGAGGAAAGGCATTATACTTCATTACTAAACCCTCTAAAATCGAAACAAGGAGATGAGACCAATGAAGCGAAGGAAATCCGTAATCATAAATCTAAGGATGAGAAGTTGCATCCTGTATATACTGTGGAGACAAGTAAATCTTTAGATGAAAGAGAAACAGAAGATTGGGATCCAAAAAATGACATTGATGCTCCTGTAGAGCTGTTTACTTCTGATGACGGTTCAAAAGAAGCGGATGTGACACAAAGTGGTAGCCAAAAATCAGCTTCCAGCGTCAGGAATAAGGGTAAATTATGTTTGGAGTTTATTATTTGTATTTGGTACTCTCTTCATCTTTTAACAAGCATCCACCTGCATATCCATTGCTTAAGCCTTTGTTGCTTTCACTATTGTAAAGCATGTCATTAAAGTGTCTTTGCAAACCAGGAAATACAGTTTACAAACTGATATGTATCTGTTTAAAATCTTATTTACTGAGCATAATTTTATGGTTATCTCAGACTAATGAATATACGAGTTATGATTTTATTTATTATCACAGAGCCTTAAAATGACTTCTATTGTTAAAATGATTATTAGAATTGGCCAAGGTCAGTTGCAATTGCATATCATGATTAATGTCCAATTGAATTACTTAAACAATTACTTACAATTCAATATCTGAATTGTATACCCTACAAATTTCATATTTCCTTCCATTTATCCTTTACCTACTAGGGAAACGGTTCAGAATTACAAGGCACTGTGAAATATGTTCTGCATCTACTGATGACATGTCAAAGCATCTTGAAAGGACACACAAGCTGTCGAAGGAGGAAAGGCAGAAATATATATTGGCTGCACGTGGCAGGTAAAACATTTTTTTTTTGGGGGGGGGGGGTGGGGAGGAGGAGGGGGGTGATCTTATTTCAAGAGCTGGTATTCTGAAGATACATGTATGTGTAATAATTATATAATATTGACTGGCCTTGAGGGGTATATCAGAAATATTGACCAAGCTCAGATCATATTGCCCCGAGTCGAAAGACGAGGGCAATATGGTCTTAGCGCGGTCAATATTTCTGATATCCCCCGAAAGTAAAGCCAGTCAATATTTTTATTGTTATCCAAATCAGACATCTAGAGCAAATACAGAAATCCACCATGACAATCTCAAGAACTGAACAAACTTTGTCAAACCAACACTGTGCATCCAGTGCTTGACAAAATTTTCGATACACTGCAAACAGTGTGTATTTGGTGTGATTATTACGTCACAATGGAGTGCGCGCAAAGTGCGCAGGTTCTCGTACGCATAATAGATGCGCAATGAAAATGCTTCACGGTCAATACAAGATGCCCGGATACAAGACCGTGGAAAATACCAAGGTATATTTTCACTCGTCTCTACACACGCAAAGTCAATACGCGCAGGGAGACCAAGGAAAATACAAAGAATATACCCCTCCGTTCCCACTGCTAGTGAAAACTAGGGCAATACGGTTTTCTAAATGACCAGCTCAGATGTCTGATACGGGTAATAATACATAATGTTTTGCATTTTTTATTGATATTTTTTGTGATTGTAATTTGTGACCGTGTGAGAGCATTATTAATATAACTTTAGTATGGATAATTATTGAATCCATCAATTGTAAGAGAATTTGTTGATTAGATTGAGAACTAGACTGTTGTGCTAGTCGAAAATCACACAAAAGTAACAGTATAAAAAATGGGTGAATGTTGACCTACAGGTATATATGCATTTTGGTCAAGAATTATGAAGGATGAATTGGTTCAATATCATGATAAAGACATCATTTTATTTGTGCTGTATAAGAAATTTGTCATGATATTGTAATCATAATTATGATCCTTTTGTTTGTGCTTGATGAGAACATTCAGAATTACACACATTTTAAGGCAGGACAGCTATGCTGCTATGATACTTAGATTTATTGTATGATTTATTAAATGTTTTACATATTCTTTTTCCACAGAGTCCCCATTAGAAGAAGAGCAATGATTGAGAATCCAAGTTCCGGTAGAAAGCAAAGCAAGAGAGAAAACTGTCCGTTGTGTGAAGGAAAACATTATACTTCATTACAAAACCACCTTGAAACCAAACATGGACTTGAGGCCAATGAAGCAAAGGAAATCCGTAAGAGAATGAAACAAGGTAATCCTTTATTGATCTGTTGTTACATTCTGTCTTGCTGTTGCTTAAAGGCATCGTCTAACAATGTTATATCTGAGATGCAAGGCCCTACATGTTATCAGTGTCTGTGGTATGGTGTAATATTGAAACCCTAAAGAAAAAATTGCACTTCAAAATGATCATGAAGTGCCATTAAACAGTAAACATCTTTGAGTGACCAGTTTTTATCATACTCGTTTTCCCCAATAGATTGTAGTGTCATGAAAACTGTTAGGGGGGGGGGGAATTGATTTTGATTTTTAATCATAAATATCTTGATAATAATTAGACAGGCGATCGTCGTGTAAAAGTCATGGGTTCCTGACTGACCTAAAGGTTTATAATTATAATTACAGCATGAGTTAAATCCAAGATCTTATTTACTGAGCAGAAGATGTGTTGAGATTTTTCTCATGGTCATCTCAGAATAATGAATAAATAAGTTATACTTTTGATTTTATTTATTATTTCAGAGTCTTAAAACGACTTCTCCAGTTTAAATGATTAAAATAATTGGCCAGGGTAAGTTTCAATCCCATATCATGATTGATATGGGATTGATACGGTTCGAGTCCCGCCGCGGCACTATTGTCCTTTGGCAAGACATTAATTGATCTACATTTGCCACACTCAACCCAGGTGAGGTAAATGGGTACCTGGTAGGATTATTCCTTGAAATGCACTGTGCGCTGATAAGGCTGCCGGAGCTAAAGCTAGGGTAATAAAGTCCAAAGCTCTTTGGAAGCGCATAGAGATGTTATTTCATGACGTATTATGCGCTATACAAGAACTGAACTATTATTATTATTATTATTGATGTACAAGTGTATTATTTAAATGAGTGTGTGTCTGCTACATTCCCAGAATAACTTAAATCGCATATTACAATTTTTCATGCCTTATCTGAAATGTATACCCTACAAATTTCAATTTTTCTTCTGTTAAAAGTTTTTATTTTATCCTACACCTAGTAGAGAAACAGCTCAGAACTACAAGTCGCTGTGAAATATGTTCTGCATCTACTGATGACATGTCAAAGCATCTTGCAAGGACACATAAACTGTCGAAGGAGGAAAGGCAGAAACATTATACTTCATTACTAAACCCCCTAAAATCCAAACAAGGAGATGAGACCAATGAAGCGAAGGAAATCCGTAATCATAAATCTAAGGATGAGAAGTTGCATCCTGTAGAAACTGTGGAGACAAGTAAATCTTTAGATGAAAGAGAAACAGAAGAATTGGATCCAAAAAATGACATTGATGCTCCTGTAGAGCTGTTTACTTCTGATGGCGGTTCAAAAGAAGCGGATGTGAAACAAAGTGGTAGACAAAAATCAGCTTCCAGCATCAGGAAAAAGGGTAAATTATGTTTGGAGTTTATTATTTGTATTTGGTACTCTCTTTGTCTTTTTAAAAGCATCCACCTGTAGGCCTACATTCATTTGCTTAAGCATTTGTAGCTTTCACTATTGTAAAGCATGTCATTAAAGTGATTTTTTGCAAACCAGGAAATACAGTTTACAAACTGATATGTATCTGTTTAAAAACTTATTTACTAAGCATAATTTTATGGTTATCTCAGACTAATGAATATACGAGTTATGATTTTGATTTTATTTATTATCACAGAGCCTTAAAATTACTTCTATTGTTAAAATGATTATTAGAATTGGCCAGGGTCAGTTGCAATCGCATATCATGATTAATGTCCAATTAAATTACTTAAACAATAACTTACAATTCAATATCTGAATTGTATACTCTACAAATTTCACATTTCCTTCCGTTTATTCTTTACCTAATAGGGAAAACGGTTCCGAATTACAAGGCACTGTGAAATATGTTCTGCATCTACTGATGACATGTCAAAACATCTTGAAAGGACACACAAGCTGTCGAAGGAGGAAAGGCAGAAATATATATTGGCTGCACGTGGCAGGTAAACAAATTCTTATTTCAAGAGCAGGTACTTTGTATATTCTGAAGATACATGTAGGTGTAATAATACATAATGTTTTGCATTTTTATTAACATTTTTTGTGATTGTAATTTGTGACCATGTGAGAGCATTATTAATATGCCTGTTAAAAAATCAATACGGATAATTACAGAATCGATCAATTGTAAGAGAATTTGTTGATTAGATTGAGAATTAGAACGTTGTGGAGGTCTAAAATCACACAAAAGTAACAGTATAAAAAAATTGGTGAATGTCCATTTTTGGTCAAGAATTATGAATTGAAATTGAATTATGAATTGGTTCAATATCATGATAAAGAGACAATTTTATTTGTGCTGTATAAGAAATTTGTCATGATATTGTAATCATAATTATGATCCTTTTGTTTGTGCTTTATGAGAACATTCAGAATTACACACATTTTAAGGCAGGACAGCTATGCTGCTATGATACTTAGATTTATTGTATGATTTATTTAATGTTTCACATATTCTTTTTCCACAGAATCCCAATTAGAAGAAGAGCGATGATTGAGAATCCAAGTACCGGTAGAAAGCAAAGCAAGAGAGAAGACTGTCCGTTGTGTGAAGGAAAACATTATACTTCATTACAGAACCACCTCAAATCCAAACATGGACTTGAGGCCAATGAAGCAAAGGAAATCCATAAGAGAATGAAACAAGGTAATCCTTTATTGATATGTTGTTACATTCGGTCTTGCTGTTGCCTAACCCTAAAAAGACATGGTCCATTTTTATTTGCTCTGGACCGTAAACTTTCCACCTCCCTGGAATCCCAGTTCTCTGCCATAAAGTCAAAATAAACTAGCCTGTAAGGTTTCATATCCATCTTAAATTGATTTGGAATTAAGCTAGTGGTAGGATGTTGAATGATTGTTCTAGACTAATGAGATGTAGTCTATGTCCATGTATACGTATATCTTGCTATATCATGGTACAGGGGGGCGTTTCACAAAACTTGTCATCAGTGACAAAGACAGTTTTGTTATAAGCTACTGAAATCCTTGCTTCTGATTGGTTATCAGCAGATTTGTCACTAAATTTTGTTATTTGTCATTGAAAAAAGGCTTTGTAAAACAGGGCCCAGGTGTAGAACTGGATGAAGCTCATCAGCTAGGAACAGATGCAGCAGATTTTGAGACCAATGACCTGCTCAGCAGGTACCGCTCATTTATTAATCTTGCCTCTGACACTACCTATGGGGAATCTTCATCTACTCAACATTGTAGGCAGTTAAAGAAAATGTGCGAGATGGCATTTTCAAAGCTGCTCAAAGGAGGCCTGACCCCCAGAATAAATGTAGGTATGCTGAAAGATTTCCTGCCTAGCTAACCAATTTTGACAGGATGACCAGATTTCGAAAATGAAATTTGGGACACTCCACGATGAGCGCAGTAGGCTACATGCAGTGGCGTATCTTTGGGGGAGGGGGCAAGGGGTGACGCCTTGGAAGCCACTTTCAGGGGGCGCAAAAAAGGCAAAAAAGAACAAAAAGAAAAGGTTTACCGGAAATCTAATTGTTGTGTCTATCAACATAGACTATGTCTAGTTTAGTAAAAGCTAATCCAAGTATGAATAATAAAGTGCAGAGGCTAATTTTCAAAGCAGTTTGAACCAGTAAGCATTCTATTAAAAGTTAGTGTTCAACTACAAATGTATCATAAGAATATATGGTAAGTTAATAACATTTTTGTATTCTTTGAAAAGGATGATGTGGTTCCCTCTGGAGAATGCAGCAAGCAGAAGGAAAGAGAGGCATCAAATTCTCAGATGGATGCAGTTAAGGTATTATGAATATACAGTATGCCCCCCCCCAAAAAAAAAAAAGATTTACCAATGTTAAATCATATCTTAAGCCCCACTGCACTACTTACAGCTACTTGCGCCCTCTATACAGCAAACAGTGCCTTATCGGTGCCTGTAATTGGTCCCCCATCCTCTTTTCTTAATCTTATGTTTATTGAGATCTGATATGATTAGATAACCACCTGTGCCTATGCAGGGAGGTCTAATCCCTCTTGGCCAAACTGGTGCAGATGGGCTTTAAAATTTGTTATTTAAGTACAAACCTATTATAAGACTATGGTAAGTTGATAACATTTGTTGTATTCTTTGAAAAGGATGATGTGGTTCCCTCTGGAGAATGCAGCAAGCAGAACGAAAGAGAGCAATCAAATTCTCAGGTGGATGCAATTAAGGTATGACTATACAGTGTGCCCCCCCCCCCCCAAAAAAAAAAAACCCCACAGGATTTACCAATGTTTAATCATATCCTAATCTCCAAAAAACAATAAAAGAAGAAGCACTAAGCTTTTCAAATATGTGAAATTTATTATTTATTATTGTAATTAAGATATGATTAAACATTGATAATTCTCAATTTCGTTTTTATGGGACACACTGTAAAGCAATATATCAATGTTGTGATAATGTTAAATAAACAATTTCTGTCATTCAGGATGTTTTTAAAGGAGAAAGAAACCCCCTTATTGTACCGTAATTACGGTGTATTAACCGCACCTTTTTGCCGCCAAAAAAAAACAAAGTCGGGTGTGCGTTTTTTTTTTTTTAAAGTTTTAATTTATGCCCCTCCACCTGGCCCTATGCCTGGCAATGTCTCCCAGCTCAGTAATCGGTGTGTTGACTCACCACTCGGAAACTAGAACAACACTCAAATTTGTCTGTCATCTTGGTTTGAAAGTAATCTTTCTGATAGATTTCAATATGTAGTTTATAATAATAATTCCTCCAATTTTTCTTCTATTACATGGCGTACCACAAGGTACTATCCTAGGTCTTCTACTGTTTTTTAAGTTGGCAAAAAAAAAGTCAGCAATTTTTTTTTTTTTTTAGGGCGAAACAGAGGGTGCGGTTAATACACGAGGGCGGTTTATACAACGTTAATTACGGTATGCACTTTAACAGAAGCATATTCGTGTTACATAAAAAAAAATCTCCTTTATTTAATCTATTGCCTGGTGGTGATAAAGAGGATCTTTCATCAGTTCCTGAAACTACAAAAACACTACACTACAGAACTTATCTTATGACAGGACTTAGCCTGAGACTTATTTTAAAAAAAATTGTGTTCTTTTGATGTTTCAATTGAAATTAATCAGCCTTGAAAAAAAGATTAAATGAATATCTAGATATATTAATTTTCTTTGATAAAAATTGATATACCGGTATCCAAAAATGAGTATGGAAGCTAGGTTTGTTTTCTCGTTTTTATTTCTTATTTGGTTTCATTTTTAGGCATATTATTTTGTTTTCAACATTATATTTGTAATTTCAATTATTTAAACATATTTGTGGCTTACACCCAGTAAATAAGATGGACCAGTGATGGCCTGGTGGTAGAGTCGCTGCCTGGCAAGCAGTAGATGTGCAGGTTCAAGTCCCGCTGGTTCCAAGATTTTTTCTGACTTGTTTTTCAATACAGATCGATCGATCAATCTTATTTACTGGGTGTAAACCACAAATATGTTTAAATAAATGAAATTGAAATTTCTCGCCGGAAGCATTACATTTATAAAGTTATTGTCCTATGACGGACTAATGAATATTAATAAGTCAGAATAAATCAGGAGAACTTGGGTATTTGTTTCTGGTTCATTGTGACTCTGCCATGGACCAGTGATGGCCTGGTGGTAGAGTTGCCTGCTGCCTGGCAAGCAGTAGATGTGCTGGTTCAAAGATTTTTTCTGACTTGTTTTCAATACAGATCGATGAATCGATCTTATTTACTGGGTGTAAGCCACAAATATGTTTAAAATAATTGAAATTGAAATTTCTCCCAGGAAGCATTACATTTATAAAATTATATTTGTAGTATCATGATTTAGGAAAATTATGTTTTCTTCTTACAGGATGTTCCGGGAGAAGGTGCATGCAGTAGCGTAGAAGAGAGACCTACAAAGGTAAAGAATGTTACAGCCCATTTACAATATTTGTCCAAAAGCAATAATGAAAGTTCTTATATTTATTCTGACATTGTTGTAATTGTATGAAAACACATGTGCCACACATTTTTATATTCCAGTTGTGTTTTTTTTCGCCTGCGTAGCAAAAAGCGGGACATAGGTGCCGCTTTTCCGGTGACAGCGGCGACAGCAGCCTCAACATCAAAAACTTAACCTAGAGTTACGGCCCGGTCACACATAGACGACGTACGACCGGCGCATTAAAAATCGGAAAAAGTTGTGAAGTGACTTGACCTTAGAAGAAGCATCCACCCTCAGTCGTGAGCCCGGCTTTTAAAGGATTTAAAATGCAAAGCGTGTTGCTAGCGCACTGGGCGTATACAGGGCGTGTGCTCCGCATGTGTCTGGCGTTGGTCTAGCGCGCTCCGCGCATGTCTGGCATCCTTTTGGCGTGTACAATCATGCCTCGAGCTCCGCGCACACTTTTGAGCATGCTCAAAATATCCTGACGCACACAGCGAATGACGACGAATGCATAGCGTTGGTCCAGCGGGCTCGAGGAACGAGTAACGAATGATGACGCACACCTAGTGAACCACAATATTGCAAATTTCCATTGTGCTGGCCATGCGTCCCCCATGCGTTCCCTATGTGTGACCGGGCCTTAAGTTTTGAAATTTAATATAGTTCTTCTTCAATCAAAGTATCCCCAATTGTGTGAGTAGAATTAGGTTTCTGTATAATGATCACTGAAGGAGTTGAAATTGATAAAATTTGGTTGCTCTTGTTGTATACATAAACTAGAAGCCATAAAATTAGCAACTTGAGGATCATTTTCATCAAGCCTTCATATCTACATGTATCAATGATCACATTTTACCATGGAGATTTCTTGCATCATTTTTTTCTTCAGAGGAAGCGAAAACTCCTGGATAGCGAGGAGGAGGACATTTTAAGAACAGAAGTACAACAAGCGGTCAACAAGCCAAGAAGGAAAGGCTTGCGTTTCAGAGAAATAGTAAGTTGCTTGTTTGGTGAATTTGTAAAGGTGCTCTCACACTAGAGCATCGGTCTGGTGTTAGTCATGTTGGTCAACGACGGTTAAGTGACCATTCTGGACCGCAATACTGCCGTAGTAGAGCGTAGTAGTACTTAGTAGAGCGTAGTAGTGCGTAGTAGTGCGTAGTAGACCGAACATGAACCGTTCTCAGTGGTATGGTCCAGAACGGACAAGACGGTCACTCAACTGCAACTGACTCTGACCGTTACTCTAGCGTGAGCCAGAGCACCTTGACTAAAGTAGACACGTATTAGAATATTTTCATCTTTAGAAATACCACATAGATAAAAAAACAAACCATAATACTTCAGAGAGTTTTTGATTAGAGAAAGTTGATAGTTCCAACTAGATTTTGGTCCATTCTAAGCAACACAGAATCTTTACCCATTGGCTAAGGGAGCTGGGTGGTCACTGTATTAAGCCTATGGGAGTTAGAGATATCAGATTTATATCTTTATAAAGCCATTTTGCTCTATGTATGATACTATGATAATAATAATAATAATAGCTAGACATGTTCAGGCGCGGATCCAGGATTTTCCAATAGGGGGGGGGGGGCCGGAAATTCGAAATTCGCGCAGACCGTTATATAAACTTACCAATACTGACAAGGTCATATAAGAAGCACTGTACTTTAATAGTGTATTGGTACCTACAATTATTTTGGAAAGGGGACATGCTCACGTCACATCTCTTGTCCGATATCAACATTCCCCATTTTCAAGTTATGCTCGCGCGCAATTTTTTTTTGACATTTCCATCAGTGGGGGCTGAAGCCTCTTGCCCCAATATCTATTTCCTGGTTTAATAATTTGGCGACGAGTGAGCGGAAATTTGAGCTTATGTATGTTGTGAAAAGTGTTAATTGTCACCAAAATATACGAGATAAGATATAACAAATGCATATTGGTAATTTTTAAATTTTCGGGAAAGAGAGGCTGCAACACCATCACGCATTAACTGCAGGTATTTTGAAATCAAATCAGACTCCCAAAAAATTGTTAACCAAAACGCACGAATCCAGTTTCAAAAATCCAAAAAAATGTCAGCTTCAGAGGGGGCACATCACCCCTCAGACTCCCTCTAAAAGTATTAACCAAATCGCACGAATCTAGGTAAAAAAAAAAAATCAGCTTCAGAGCTAGAGAGGAACCCCCCCCCACACACACCCACACACACACACACACACCCTGTGCGCGCAAGCGTGAAATTAACGCTGGTGCTAATGCGTAAGCAGGGGCGGAGGAGCTATTTCCAAAGTGGAAAGCACCAACAAAAAAGGGCACCTACAAAGTGAAATCTCAAAGCGAAAATATACATTTTTTTAGGCATTGGTATAATACCCTTTCATTGTGATCCCATTATCAGGGACGATTTCAATATTTGTTTTTCTTTATATATCATACAAGTTATTGCTTAAGCATCACACTTTCGGCTAAGTGTGATTGTCTGAATATTCATTTTGCGAGCGAGCAAAGCGAGCGAGAAAAAATGTAAGATCTGTGAGGTCGTAGAGTGAAAAATCACATCTTATAAAGAGGAAAAAAAAAAAAAATCATGATGGGGTTATAAGCATCACGGAAGACTAAAAAAACATTTGTTTTAAAGTGACATATAATTGTATCATCTATAAATGCGAGCGAGCGAGCGAGCTTTAGGGGAAATTACTCTTAGTCGCTTTAAATTAGGTGCAAGACTAATGATGAGCAGGTTAGGGGGCACATGCCCCCCCCCCCCCCCCCGATGATGAGAGGTTAAGGGGACACATATCGAAAGGGATAAAGACACTTATTAGAAAAGAAAATGGGCATGTGTCAAGGTACAAAGAGTAATTATCAAAGGTTCAAACTGGGCACTTCTTACACCTGAAAGGAGGCACTCACCAGAAATGAGATAGGGCACTTATGAGTATGGGAAATGGGCATTTGTCGACGGAAAAGGGGCATCCATCAGAAATTGATTTATCAGAGGTGAAAAGGGGCATTTATGAAAAGGGGATAGGTCCCTATATAGAAAGGAAAAGGGGCACGATTCAAAATTAAAGGGCAGTTAGCAAAGGTGAAAATGGGCACCCATCATAGATGAAAAGAGTACTTATCAGGAGGGGAAGGGGTACTTTTCAAAGTAAAATGAGCATCTCTCAGATTCGAATAGGGGCAATTATCGGAGGTGAAGAGCGCACTGAAGTGAAACGAATTAACTTCATATATATGAAAATGGTCATTTACCAGAGATGAAAAGGGACACTTTTTATTTATGAAGGGCCTCATTTTTCTAAATAGCCCTATTCAGATAGGAAAGGGGGCACATGTGTTGATGAAATGTGCGCTTATCCGAGTTAAAAAGGGGAAGGGGCACTTCTTTACAAAGTAAAAGTGGCCCTTTGGGGGGGGGGGGGGTACTTGAAGAGTGGGGCGAACTTTGCCCCCTACCCCTGCCACCCGCCCCATCTTCTGAAAATCCAAAATGATGTTGTAGGGGCCGGGCGCGGCTTTATCATGAGTGCTTTTATGTGAACCTCTTTTTTTATAAATATATTATGCTGGATTCTGACCCAGATTGCACACTCTAAAATGATAGTATGATCATCCCCAATACGCTTGTAGTTCACGTATGCATCCCTTCCTCCTAATTCGTCGTTACCATCACTGTCATTTACGTATGGCCGGTGTGACCGCGTAGAATGTAACCCGCACCGATCGTCCGACTATTAGAGATCGATCGAGAGCGGACGATCGGTGCGGATTTTATCCGCGCAGAATGTCCGTGTCGGACATTCCGTGCGCGCCTCAAATGTCTGACGGACAATCCATGCGGAAGAGGTCTCGCACCAATAGTCCGCCTGCCGCACCGAATGTCCGTACTCTAGTCCACACATATACATAGTCAATATAATGGAGGCTGTTAGGGCTAAATAGGGGTTGTTTGGTGCAGATTCTTCTAAAAGCACCAAATTTGGCCCAGAGGTAGATTATACCATACTTTTATGATTTCTTCCGGACGCCAAGAAGGGTACCCTCTGGGTATGCCATATTGGGCAAATCCAAAATGGCCGCCATCTGAGTTAAAGGTCAAGCGTAGTTCCAAAAGGAAAAGCGGTTGTATGATAATAGTTTATATATTTATGGGGTTTTGGGGTCAGAGAATCTGATTATGATATTCTTTCATCAATTTAAGATCTCCTTGGGGCTGCCATACTGGTCATATTGGTCAAATCCAAAATGGCCGCCATCTGATAGTTACAGGTCAAGTGTAGTTACGAAAGAAAATGGGCTAGTATGATAAAAGTTTATATATTTATGGGGTTTTCGGGGTCAGAGAATCTGATTATGATATTCTTTCATCGATTTGAGATCTCCTCGGGTCATACTGGTAATATTGGTCAAATCCAAAATGGCCGCCATTTGATAGTTCCAGATCAATAGTAGTTCCAAAAGGAAAAGAGCTAAAATGATTTAAAAAAAATTATATAGTAAGGGGGTTTTCTGGGTCAGAGAATCTGATTATGATGTTGCTTGTATCAATATTGCAGGTCTCCTTGGGGCTGTCATGCTGGCCATATTGGCCAAATAAAAAAAATGGCCGCCATCCGAGTTAAAGGTCAAGCGTAGTTTCAAAAGGAAAAGGACCAGTATGATAAAAGTTGATGAATTCATGGGGTTTCCGGGGTCGGATAATCTGATTATGATGTTCTTTATCAATTTTATTTCACCATCCTGTCCTAAGGCTACAATGAAGTCCATTTCCTAGTTGAAGAAGATGAGTGAAGATGCGCCAAATTCACACTTGAGTGGGTTTAAATCTTGGCCTGCGCCCATATGTTTCATCAATATGCAAACTTTCCTCTGTGAAATGCATAATACATTCGTTTTCGAGGATTGGCAAGGAAAAAAGATAAACAGTAAAAACAGACCATGAATAAAGAAATAAACAGCTTGTTCGATTTGTTTTGAAGCATTATATTCACTGACCCTGACAGCTTTATCTTTATTATCCATATAAATAATGTCTCTAATCACTGTCAGACGGGAGATAATACCAATACGAAATGCATTAAGCAACGTCTAGACATAACGGTCGAATCTCAACTTTAGTTTTCTCGTTCTTCTTTACATTTCGAAGCGTTACATGGGATCTTAATCCTTTTTTTCTACATACATCAATGCCCTCGTTTAAGCATACTTTGAATCTGGTCACGCTTCGAAAAGTTCGTGGCCTAGCATTTTGCTTCTGTTGATGATCAAATAGAGAAAGCACCCTTTATAGATCAAGGAGAGTGTGAACAAAGCACGAAGTAGGAGCAGTGCAATTTAAATATCAAGGGATGGATTAGAGTTTATTTCTAAAATGAAATGAAAGGGCTATTTTATTTTCATGAGTCCTTTCACTTCATTGAAGAAATAACCTCTCTTTATATCTTAGAGACACTTTCTCTTGAAAGTCAAATAAACTCGAGAGCATCCTGGGGCTCCGCCATGGAACCCCTGGTAGGGGCTCTTCCAGGCCCCTAAAGCTGTGCCATATTGTACGGATCCATTAGAAAGCAAAATAAGCCCAATAAATAATTTGTATATATATATATATATATATATATATATATATATATGTATACATATATTTTACTAAAGGCGTCATTAGAGGGACATTTGGAGTGAAAAAATGAGTCATTAAGTAGACATTGTCATTAGAAGGACAATATGGTGTCCTCTTAACGTTTTTTACGTTTTATTTCTCATAGAAGGCCCAATTTGTTTATATATCTCTCTCTGTAATTTCACTAAAGGCGTCATTGGAGGGACATTTGGAGTGAAAAATGAGTCATTAAGTAGACATTAGGGTTAGGGTTAGGGTAAGGATTAGGGTTAGGGTTAGGGTTAGGGTTAGGTTTAGGTTTAGGGTTAGGGTTAGGGTTAGGGTTAGGGTTAGGTTTAGGTTTAGGGTTAGGTTTTAGGGTTAGG